AATAACCTGGTATCAACTTTCTAGTATCATTGACAATTTTAATATTACAACGTGGTGTTACAATTGAGACAGTTTCAAATACAATATTCAAGCCTAGTCAGTAATACAGCTATTTAATGTGAGCATATTCCATTACTCATTAATTAATAACCAAAAAGGCAGAATAATTGCCATGGTGAACTGGAGATTGTAAAGCCCCCACAAGCAATAAAGAGTTTATCTAATGGAAAGATATGAAATGAAATTGACTGGGAAAGAGCATATGGAATCTATATGTTATGGAATTGATGGGTTTAGTACAGGCCTAGCTGGTCTGTGTATAAGCATAGAGGAATAATGGAAAGAACTTAAAAAGAGAGACTTTGGATGGGAGACTGTGACAGTAGAAGTTATAAATTTGTCATGTGTAATACATATGATCAATTAAAATCAGTGTAGTCAGTGAAAGAAATGCATGAGAAATGAAGATGCATTTCTGTGCACATTTTTATAAATATATAAAAAATATGTAATGAGATCTTTCCCTGAAAGTGTGTTTAACACTGGTATGCCCCTACTCTCAGTCATCTGGACTGACAGCTTCGGTAAGGGGATAACTTTGGTTTAAACTCACCATACATTTGCATGCTTACATGAGTTATAACAGAAGCTGGCAAAGGTGCCAGAAGCAACAACACAGTTGATTAAACTATACTTAGGGACAACTTACTTTGCTAATACTAACTTACAAATGGGGAAATTACAGTCCACTTTTCAGTCCTCATACATAAATTTCCATTTCTGGTTTGTTCTACATTTTGGAACTCTTATTAAATCAAGACAATATTTTCATTAAAATATATTGATAAAACCATTCCAATATCAGGAAAAAACATATTAGGAGTCCAGCCGCCCTTAAGCTTTTATAAGTCTCTTATTAGGCATAGCAATCTCTATTCTTAAAGTATTAGTTCTGAGTTGTAATCTGACTAAAACTGCTGAATTTCTCTGCAGAGAATCATTATCCTTTCCAAAATAAATTATTCACCATAAAGTATTCTGCACCCCATTTATTATGTGAGCAATACATTGCCAACTTTGGAGGTACCAATATCCTTCCACAGCAATACAGAAACTATGCACATTTGGGAAGTATCAAAGAAAATGGAAGTCATAGATGGGTACAGTAGCCTATATGTTACACCCGTTGGTAACCAAGGGGCTTTTCAAGGTACTATCCGTTTTGTTTATATCTGTCATTGACTGTCCTCTCCATCATACGTGATCTGATTACAGTGCATGTATGGAAAGAGCAAGGCTAGCTGGCCATTCAAGCTTTGGCATAAAACAGGTAGGTGTCCGAGTTTGTAGTGGGCTTAAATTATGGTTTTAGAACATAGTAAACATCTTGCTAACTTTTTTTTTTCTTCTTCTTAATAAAAAGCATATGAAGGACTTTGGCTCCCAGTAAGGAATGCACCACCAAGTAAAAATGTCAATCCTAAAATTATCTCTTCTTCAAAAAAAGCTAAAAGATATGCATTACCATAATCATTTTTTAAGGAGTGGTATTGATTAGAGGGAAAACCAAACAAACCTCAGTGTACAGAAACTGTGCAAGAAACTTTATTATAACCTCAAAATGAATTTGAAGGGAAAAAATAAATTTACACCTAAATCATACATGGAAAATAACACAACAAAGTCCTTAGAAAAACTACCATGAACAATTTGGATACGACAGATATGTCTAAGCCATATGTATGTGCAGAAAACTGGATATTGAGGATCTTACAAATTTCGATCTTTTTTTACCTTTTCCAGTGAAAAACCACAATGGTCCAGGATAAAATTGATGTGCAATTTTATTTATAAGACTGTGACTGGAACTCTGAATCCAGGGCTGTATGCTATGTCATTTTTTCAGCCACCAAAGCTTCAGCAACAGCAATTAGTATGAAGGCCAGAGATGTTACAAAACTGAGAATGGTGCAGCCATGACAATTTCCAAAATGTGTGTAAGGGGTCTGAAGGATACTTTTCTTTCGAAGTCTTCCCTCCCCCATGAAATCCTTTCTTATGACTGCAGACTGTGGTACCTCAAAGATGTTTTATACAATTTGCTTTATTTCACTGCCCAAATGGAATACATACTGTGTGTTTACAGTGAGTGTTGAGGATTTTATTAGCTACTTCTCTACCCCTCTATTCCCCTTTCAACATGAATTCTGGCATCCACATTTTGCTCCTTAATACTGACATTCTTAGGATAAACTACCAAACTGAGTAAACCTTTGCAAGTGAGTATAATGCAACAGTAAAAGACAGCAAGTCACTGGTCACAGAAGTTTGACAGGCTCATAGAAATGACTAGTAAGGGGAAAAACAGTCATGTTGTAGTGCATTTCCTACAATGAAAACAGTGTGCATGAGTGCAGTTCATAATAAATACTGTTGCAAAAATAGAGTAAGTGAAGTTTAGGACATTTGGGAATTGAAAACTGGCAACTAGAAAATGAAAATGTAAAAATATAGATGAGAGGAAGAGTTTATCAGGTTCTTTGCTTATGCCAAGACAACCATATGCTGCACCAGCTAAAAAATCAAAGTGATTTTCAGTGTCAGCCTCAGGCAGCAGTAGGTCTAGGCATCTCTATAGGTGCAACTAAATGGTACTGATGATAGGGAGCAGTAGCTTTAGATCCTCTGAGAATTCTGTGCTTGCATAAGGTAGCAAAAGCATAGATAAGAGAGAGCAAAAGAGTAGAAAGGACTACATCAGAGAAGGGTCAATCTCCTGGAACATCACAGGTGACATAAGGCATTTCTGGATATTTTTGCTGCAAGACAACCCAACAGCAAAAATTGTTATCTGCTTTAGTAACCACTAATTGGAGTTTAGGCCTCCATTTAGGGTACTATTTCCTTGACTTGACTTTTCTGATCAATTTTCATCCATCTTTTATTTTTCTTATAGAGGAAAGTAAATCTGTTATGATTAAATCTTCTAGAGGTACTGAATGTGACTGAATAAAGTGAAGATCAAGAGGATGCATTTTTGCCATGTCATCTACTGCTGTTTTCACAAAAGAGAATAAATTGAAAAGCATCTCTTTTAAAACATTGTATGCATGACACAGCATACTCAGTTGTATCTCATTTAGTCATGCAACTCCCAGTCAACATAAAAGTCACAATTCATGGCACATCTTGAAGAGATCTTCCCATGAAATAAACCCACTGTTAGCATTTTGACTGCTACGGCACACACATATTTAAGAAAATAAGAAGGGAAGATGGAGGAAGAGCAATAGAGTGAGAAAAGGAATGCATGCACTCTATTCCACTGTCTAAATAGCATTATTCATTATTGTTTTGATAATTTATATCTGATCAAGTCTTAAAAACAAATTAACAACTAACCATGTATTTGCTGGTAAGAAAATTTTATTCTGAACTTTCTGCAGATATAGACTTGAAAAATATAACAAATGTTTTCCATGTACAAATAATATAACTGTAAGTAATATTACTAGGAGTCTCTATAGGGGCAACAACAATAGTGTACCTACATAGTGAATCTACAGATGCACCTCTGTAGGTGACTATAGAGAACTCATTTCTACACTTGCATGAGATAAATGTGATCGTCACTACATGTCTACTCAAATCACATTTTATGACATTCTACCACTCTCCATGACAAAATTTTAAAGATTACCTCATTAATTCCATATAGTGACATGTGTAGATAGCTAGTTGCCTCCCAGATTGTCTTTCAAAACATCACTGTCTGAGATGCACAGCTGAAGGGGCAACAGGATTCCTTTGCACAATTCAGTCAGAAAACTTCCAAATCTTTTAGCAACTACAGGGAATATTAAATGACTAGTACTGGTTTGTGAAGTAGTTGGAAAAGACAACTTAGGAGAGAACATTGCAATACACTGCAACTAGCATGGAGAAGTTAAAGGCTTCCCAGCCCAGAATGAATAAATTTCTGGTGACCTCAGGGAAGCCCAACATGCCTTTTGGCAGCAGGACACAAGCAGCATGCTTGTGTTGCAAACACACTGCTCAGGACCGGGTCCACTGCAGAATCAGCCATCAGGCAGAGAACAGAAGATCCCATTTAGTCTATTCTCCTGCTCCAAAGAAGGATTAAAGCTCTTTATGTCTTTCCTGGAAAATGTCTATCATGTTGTGAAAATTCAAACAAAAACCTATTCCAGTGCTTCAGTATCCTTACTACAGTCCACCTTTCTTTGGAGAGAAAATTATTATCACCCCTATACAGCAGCTTTTTGAAAACTTACCATGTTTCCAGTCAATCTTCTCTCTCTTTTTTTTTTTTTTATTTTTTAATTTAAGAATCCAATGAACTCAGTATTTTCTTGAACATTAGGTGTTCAAGACCTTGAGTCAGCCTTGTTGAGCTTCTCTGACTCTTGTTCTTGCATTGTGGAGAGCCATGTGAGGGCAATCATTACTTGCAAGCACCCACAGCGTAGCAGGACTTGGATAAAGATTTGTTCGCTAATTCAAAATTACAGGATCATGAAAGTGCTGTAGGTGTTTAACAGCCACAAAGACAAGAACAGTAAATGGCAAGATTCTGTTGCACCATCTAATTCTGTACAGCAAACAGTCAACGTAAACTATGAAGAGAGGAGAATGCACTTCATCATGTGAAATAACAAGTTTGGGGGTACACAGACCCTTGGACCTTAGCATACTTGCCTTGAATATCTTTTTTTTTTTTTTTTTTTTTGTCCTCCTGTTCTCAGAGACTTACAGTCAAAGGCACTCATTTTGCAGAAGAGTGAGTTTCTAAATAAGCAAATAAAGCTAAAAAACCCCGTAATCTGTATATTTCTAAGCATAGAGTGACACATTTCTAATAAGTATTAGAAGTTATATTTTCATTTCAGCCTTCTCTTACTTTCCTCAGCAGGAAATGCACGTTGAGACAATTAAGTAATATGCAATTAGTTATCAAGTGTTTAAGGCTTTTTACTCACCCACTGGAGACATTTCTGGGACACTGGCAACATAAGGCCCATCCAGGAACTTTGGCTCATTATCATTAATGTCCTGCACTTTGATGATGAACTCCGATTCAGGCTCTAATGGTTTCTTGGTGTCAACATCCACAGCCTGAGCCCGGAGTGTGTAGAAAGGTTTTTCTTCTCGATCTAGGCTCCTTATGGCATGAATGTCTCCTGTGGTCTCATCAATGGTAAAAACTGTTCCAGCACCATCTCCTGAAAGGGTATATTTAACAGTGCCCACTCCCTTGTCCAAGTCAGAATGAAGCTTAAGAACAAAAAGAAAAAAAAGAAAAAAAAGGAGGAAAAGAACATTAATGGCTTTTTCTAGGCTGGAAGGCTTATTTTTTTATTTTTCTTCTTACATAATAAAAGGCATAAGAGAAAGCGATTACATAAGACCTAACCGCCTCTAAGTGCATGGAAAAAATGTGGGCAGCATGTTGTCTGTTTACCCCCATCTAGTACCCAGCACAGAGAACATTTCAAAATTCTACCTGATTTCTTGTATGAATATTTTTCACTACTAAAACTGCAATGAAGCAGGGCTTTGGAATTGTTATAAACTGAAATTTAAGACCAAGGATGATAAGGCACCAATAACCATATCAAAAAACCATGAGATGACATGAGATTGTCAAAAGCTTTCACAGGCATTTGGCTTTCAGAGAAGTAGAAAGAAGATACCTAATTTTAATTTCACACACAAGAGCTTGATGGAATCCTTAACTCAATGTCAAATCTGGTTTAAAAAAGACAATATACACCTCTTAATCACAGTAAATGCTAACCAGAACTAAAATACTACCTTTTACAGAAATATTTGATTTCTTCTGTCCTCTCTGAGATAGTCATATTGCGGGCAGTGTGAAGCTAGGAGTTCTCTTGCTCACTGGAAAAATACAGATCTCAATAATTTCTGCCTTCTCAATTATTTGTGCCTTAAATACCAGTATATACATTTTCCAGACTATTAATATGTTAAATCTCTCTTTCTAATTTGAGAAAATACTTGAATACAAGCTCTTGAATGTTTTTGCCTATCTATGCTACCATAATGTGCCCTTAAACGCTGTTTCAAATGTAGGAATTTTTAAAATCAAAATACAGTATGATGACCTTCTTTCTCAAATGCTTTTATCTGTTTCATGCTCATCCTTTAAATACTTTTAAAGTTTTGAATAGATACTCAAGGTTACATCATTGATGCTGAAATAGCCTTTAAAATATTCTCCCACTTGTCCCATCTAATGAGGACTAAAGAAGTCTGCTATAATGGACACAGGTTGGAATGGAGTTTTTAAGAATGAATTCCTTTAAGCAGTATAGTAAAGCGATTATGGATATAGGCATTATTTACATGATGTACTGCCCAAGGTGAAACACAATAGAGGAAACATGGGACATGAAAGGAGATTATGAAGAAAATGAATTGCTGAGAAACTAAACGGTTTTGGTAATGGGGCAAGAAGCTAGGCTACACAGAAAGAGGTAAAGGCAATTATTAACATTTATAGCTATTGCCTTGAAATTGAAAATAGGTCCTTGTGACTGTGGAAAAGGTCATGGTTTGTGGGACAGAGCGAACATGGTCTCTTCTTTGTCTACTTTTTCACTTCATCATTCCTGCTCAGTGAATATACTAGATTCTGATCTTTCATCTCGCTGCCCCCTGCATGCAATTTTAAATTATCTCACCAGTCCGAAGTAAAGCATTTTGCTTCTTGAGCACTGGTTCACTGTGTAAAGATTCAAAGGAAGTTAATTCTTTTCCTCCTGGGGTGTTAAATATTTCCTTGCTTGCAAAATGAAAAGATAATGCAGCCTGAGATAATTAATGTCTATTTCTTCTCATCATTTTCATTTAAGTGGCTCACAAGCTTCCTGCTGTTCCATTATACCTTGCTAAGTTAAAACTTAGTATTTTCTTCCATTATCATATAGAAGCTTACAGAGACACATGGAGGTAAAAAAAAAAAAAAATCAAAATGATAATGAGAAAGCTCAAAGGAAAAAATGTTTGAACTTTATAGAGGGAACCACGACATTTTCTTACTTGTGTCCCTGTGTTAAATAAAATATGTCTGGCCTTTATTGTTAAGTCTACATTGTTCCATACTTGTCCTGGTTCAGCTAGGATAGGGTTAAGTTTCCCCAGCAGAGAGGGGGAAGGGATCTCCAGCTGGGTTATCAGCACAGTAGGCGGGAAGCTTTCCTTTGTGGCTTTGGTCTCAGGGAGCACGGGGCTGTCTGTATCCACTGAGGTATTTCTCTGTATATCTTTTGTCTTGTTTACTGTTATTACTGTTTATTGTTGTTATTATTGCTATTGTTGTTTTTCAGATTGTTTATCACACTGTTATATAAAATTTCTTCTTATCTCAACCCGGGGTTTGTGCCCTACTTGTGTCCAAGGGTGGGGGAGGGACAATGGCAACGTGGTCTCCGGTCCCGGCAGGGCTTACACCAACACAGCCTTTTTGGTGCACCAACGTGGGCAGTGGCAAATACCCTGTGGAAATGGTTGCAGCAATGGAAGCAGAACAACTGGCAACGTAAGGGTAAAAATGTCTGGCCTGCTGAAGTATGGCAGGACATTGCAGCCCGTGTGGAAAACCTCGTTGTGAAGGTGCGCCATGTGGGTGCCCATGTACCCAAGAGTCGGGCCACTGATGAGCATCGACACAACCACCAGGCAGACCAAGCTGCTCAGATCAGAGTGGCTCAGGTGGACTTGGACTGGCAGCGCAAAGGTGAACTGTTCATAGCCCGGTGGGCCCAGGAGACCTTGGGCCACCAAGGTAGGGATGCAACATACAGGTGGGCTTGAGATCAAGGGGTGGACCTCACCATTGACACCATTGCAGAGATCATCCACGGATGTAAGACGTGTGCTACAATTAAACATGCCAAGCGGGTGAAGCCCCAGCGAAATGGAGAGCGATGGCTGAAATATAGATATGGAGAGGCCTGGCAGATCGACTACATCACACTGCCACAGACCTGCCACAGGATGCGCCACGTGCTCACAATGGTGGAAGTAACCACTGGGTGGCTGGAAGCTTACCCAGTGCCCCACGCCACCGCCCGGAACACCATCCTGGGCCTTGAGACCCAAGTCCTGTGGTGACACGGCACCCCAGAGAGAATTGAGTCAGACAACGGGACCCACTTCCGAAACAACCTCATAAATGCCTGGGCAGAAGAACACGGCATCGAGTGGGTCTACCATATCCCCTACCACGCACCAGCCTCTGGGAAGATCGAGCGCTACAATGGAATGTTAAAAACCACATTGAAAGCACTGGGAGGTGGCACCTTCAAAGACTGGGACATGCATCTAGCAAAGGCCACCTGGCTCGTCAACACAAGAGGATCTGCCAGTCGAGCTGGCCCGGCTCAGTCGAAACCTCCACGTGCTGTAGATGGGGATAAAGTCCCTGTGGTGCGCATGAGGAATATATTGGGAAAAGTGGTCTGGTTTAGTCCTGCGCCAGGCAAAGGTAAAGGCAAACCCATCCACGGGATTGCTTTTGCCCAAGAACCTGGGTGCACCTGGTGGGTGATGCAGGACGATGGAGAAGTCCGATGCTTACCACAGGGGGACTTGATTCTGGGTGAGAACATGCCGTGAATGATGCTGTGCCTTTGTAAATTGTTATTTTGTTATTGTTAACTGCTAAATGGCAGCTGGACATGACACAGATGGTATAGAATAAAGGGGTGGATTATGTCCTGGTTCAGCTAGGATAGGGTTAGGTTTCCCCAGCAGAGAGGGGGAAGGGATCTCCAGCCGGGTTATTCATACCACGCTGGCATCAGGTCCGGGTGTGGGAGCATGGGAACTTTTTCCTTTGTGGCTTTGGTGGCAGGGAGCTTTGCGAGCGAACTGTCTGTAACCATTGCGGTATTTCTCTGTATATCTTTTGTCTTGTTTACTGCTATGACTGTTTATTGTTGTTGTCATTGCTACTGTTGTTGTTCAGATTGCTTATTACACTGTTGTATTAAATTTCTTCTTATTTTAACCCAGGGTTTGTGCCTCACTGCCAGCCTGACCGGCTGAGGGTGGGAGAGGGACAACAGCAACATGGTCGCTGGTCCCGGCAGGGGCTAAACCAACAGAATACTCCTGCAAGTAAGAATACCACAGAGCAAATGAATATGGTTTTGAAGCAAGGGAAGCATGCAAAGAATATTGTCTCCACTCACATCTCCTGTCATCAGATTTGGCACTAAAGCTGTGATGGCTGCATGTCTTTCTGATTGCCAGCTGAAGGGCTGATGTTCAACTAGTAACAAATCAGGCTTCATTGCATGTGTTATCCGAGCACTTGTATTATACTAGAGAGAAATAATTATAGTTGCTTCCCCTAGTTGGGGAAAAGGGTAAGAAGTGTAACAAGAAAAAAGCAAAACAAGAATTCCTAAGAGAAAGGAAGAGTGAAATACAAAGGCAAGCAGAAGCAGAGCTTTTTTCGAATGTACCGAAGCAAAAAAGCTTTATAACTGGCAGCATTAGCAATTCTACAGTTATGGATGTGTTTACTGAGCTTCACAAATACCACTTAGGTAGTATAACCTAGGAACCATTCCGTTGATTTAAGCAGAATTTTATTTCTTTGCATTAGCTGGGATCTGTCACATTGTATTTATTCATCAAATCATGCTAATCTGATGATTTCACTATAGGCTTCTTAGATGCCATAGCTGGACAACGGACATATAAATGCTTATTTGTAGCCAACATTGACCATGCAATTTGTGGGGCAATTCAATATTACAAAGTGTCTAATTACTGTAGGGGAATAGCTGATTGATTTAATCTAAAATTAACTAAACTCTCCAACAATCAAATACATACAATACTGAGATTCAAATGCAAGGACTGAGAGAGGAACCAGCTGGCTGGACTTGCACAATACTAGAAAATAAGCTGGGTATTGAATACCTGAAATTTTCCAGAAAGAAGTTAGGGCTAAAGAGTAAGTGCTTGTTAGTATATCTCTGATATATGCGTAACAAGCTGTATTGCATTGGAAGAAAAGACATTTATTTTTTGTGCTGAAAATCATACAGAAGGTTTGTGAGAGACTAGTTCTTTTGACACTGTGTCCAGCAGTAATTTGGGGTTTGTATCCCATTTTTCCCACCTGCTTGTACTTATTTTCTAATTCATGCTCTTCTGCTATTTGAGTGAAGATACAGGGCAAAAGAACAAGTGCTCAGATCTTACCTACCTCCCCCCAATGTGTTTATATTTCAGAA